TATATATATATATATATATCAAAGTATAATCTGGAAAAAAAAAAATCATTCCAAGCGGCCATGCAAAGCTTACTTTTGCTTTTGAGCTAATAATACAAATTCAAGAAGACAAGAAAATATATCTCAAAGTATAATCTGGAAAAAAAAAATCATTCCAAGCGGCCATGCAAAGCTTACTTTTGCTTTTGAGCTAATAATACAAATTCAAGAAGACAAGAAAAGTGAATCACAAGGGAATTTTTTTGTCCATAAAAAAACCAAATCATTGCTTTGATATCACTTATCCATAATCCTTAAATCCCCTGAATTTCTATCCAGTAATACTTAAAGACTAATCCATTATTTTCTTACTCAAATCCTTAATAATCCCTAAATCACCTCAACCCTCTAACATAAACCCCCTAAACTACTAAAAAGCACTTTAATAACTTCAACGCAAGCCTTTTATAGTTCCATATATTAATTGTACATAAAACAAAAGTTCCGCCAAATTTACAAAATAAATCCAAATTAGGTAGAATAATGATATTCCTGAGATGTGAATCTTAAACAATAAGTTTATGTAATAAAAAAGGCATCAAAATCCTGATGGGATTATGTTGAAACAACTATTTAATTAGGACGCAGCTTGAAGGTCTCTTTTGGTTTTGCTTCTTAAAACAGACAGCAAGTCCCATTGAACAGTGACAATTTAAAATAAAAGACGCCCTAAAAAAATGGCATTGAAAGTTTTGGATTGAAAGTTTTTATTCTCTCAGCCACAACTGACCGAACTAACACACTCACCATCTCTCTCAATTTATTGTCCACTGTCATGTCCTGTGACAAAACTCGCCATTAACTTGTAGCTAATAAGTGAAGCCATGCCCATCACAAACTCAAAATAAACAAATAACCATCCCAGCAAAGACCTCAACATCTCTAGCAAGCTCCATGCCTCGAAGTTTAAAGAAGACTAGTTGCTAATACGCAATAACTTCAAGTTGACTGTAATCAGGTGAAAATGTTGGCATGGAGCTTTCTTCTCTTCGTCCGCTGCTTTTCGTCTGCTGTTAGGAAATGCATGAAATCCATTTGAAGAAAGTCTTGTGGTACAGAATTCTGTCGTCTATTTTTGAACGAGTTCTAAAATCTAAATATTTTTATGAGTATTAAATTAGAGGAGATTTTAAAAATGAGATGGCGGGAGAGAGAAATGGAAGATGGGCGGATTGGTAGCATTCATGGTAAATTTGCAAAGAGAAATAGGCTAAAAGCATTCAACATATATTTTAGTAGAAAACAAAATACACCATAAAGGGTATATAACTTTCGAAAATAATGCACACATCCTCATATATCGAAGGAGAGAATTAATGGTAAACTAACCATCCAGTAGAATCACGGCAGTCAAAATTCTTTATAGTGTCTTCCAACTCAAGGGCCTCCATAACATAAGTCAGATATTCACTGCAAAAGTTTTCAAAACAAGATGAATAGGACTAATTAAAGTGATAATAAACTTCAATAAGATGAAGCCAAGTCCAATTTCCAATACCATTAAAGAAATTTCTACAAAAGAAAATCATCTTTAAAACCATAGATATAGTTTCATTTCTATTTTCTTTCAAATATTTCCAGCAATAAAAAAAGCAAACCTCCTTCAGTAGAAATAACATAAATTGTTTCTGATATCTTTTAAACATTACAAGTAGAATAATCAATTTCGTATCACGCTATACTTGGTTTCACCCTTTAGTTTGCCTATTGTTTTGAGTCAACTTGTCCTACGGCTAGAAGCATTATTAAACTTGTCAATCTGGTTAGGTTGGAAGCTATTTGTGGCACTTGAGATGCAATTGGTGGGATATTTTGTATGACCAACCATCGTTATTGTAATTCCGTCATTCATTATTACAATCCCTTAATTAATGAGGAAACATCTTTTATCATCATCCTAATAATCATTATCATCATCATCGTCATTTCAACAACTGCATTTTCAATCCCAAACCAAGATGAGAAATATTGACTTAATATTAAGCTAATAATCAATCATAAAAATCGAGTCAAATCTAACAAAATGAATCCAAATTTAAAAATTTTTCTAGTACAAGAAAACGAAACCCTAAATAATTTTAAGGCTAGAGATTAAATATTTTTTTTATATTTAATTAATTATAAATCGATAACTATATTAATATATAAACCCTAAAACATTTAATTATAATTTATAATTTCGAATGTATAAATTGTTGACCCATGAAACAAAAAAAAAAGAAAAAAAAAATCAAATTGCTTACCTGCTCTCTGCCGAAGCCATCCCGCACGTCCCCAACACAGCTCGCACGACCGACGTCGCTTCTCCCCACGTCGCTCGCACGACCTCGCATCGTTAAATAGCGAAAGGGATGAGGCCTTCGGCCTTTTTCGCTCTCCGATCTCTCGCTCCCGTTCTTTCCCTCTTCCTTTCGCGCGCTTCTCCGTTGTTGTTCAGCTTTGTGGCTTTGCAGGAGGTGTAGAGATTGCAGGGGTCGCTACTTCGGCTATTCGTAGCTATTCGACTCCACTCTTTCGCGGTCGCCCGATGTCGTCCCTTCGACAGCTTCCCCTTCCGATCGGATCGGAAGTCAGGACATTTGATCGGAAGCAAGAACGTGAGCTCGCTGGCTGTGAAGTAACTTTTTCCCTCTCGCGCGTTTCTCCAACCTCTCCTTAGCTGACTGACTTCACGCCTCCGATGACTTTCCCATCCCGTCAGGTCGGAAGTTACGACATTTTGACGAAAGCAAAAACAGGAGCTTGCTCTCTGTGAAGTTAACTTTCTTCCTTTAACGAGCTTCTTCAGCCAAATCCCTTGAATCCACTGAACCTTTCCCGAGTCCTCTCCGCCTCCTTCGACGCTCGTTCCTATTGGGGCGGAAGTTACGACATTTTGATAGGAAGCAAAACAAGAGCTCGCTCGTTTCGAAGATAATCATCTCCCTTTCGTGCGCTCATTCAGCCATGTCCCGTAAATCCATCTACGACAGAGAGGGAAGCAGAGGATTTATTTTGTATTAATTATCTTTAATATAAATATTTAGTATTTATTATAAGTTAATTATAATTAATTAAGTTTAATTATTACTAAATATTTTTAATTATAATTAATTAGTAATTAAATTAGTAATTAATTATGATATAATCGAGCCGACAAATCACCTATGCACACTTTTCTTAGCGTGGTAGAAGGGAACCTGGTGCGACACTTATGACGAGGTAGGTGAGCGGCCCTTGACTCCAAAATCTTATCCTCGGTGTGTGTGACGAGCCGGTCAACCACCTATGCACGCTTTTCAGCGTGGTAGGAGGAAACCTGTTGCGACACATACAACAAGGCAGGTAAGCCTGGTGCATGCTTTTCTTAGCATGGTCAGGACAACTCTTAAGTATCCTATACCTGCGGGGAAACAACTGTTCTTTTCTTGTAACAGGTACCGAAGACCCATGCAGTTCTTTCTTGGTGTGGTGGATGACAAAGATCACAGTTGCGGTGTCCTCGTCCGAGGACACCTACCATACATGCTTTTCTTAGCGTGGTGGGAAGGCCCAGTTTTCCGTAATTTTCCCCTAAACAAGGGAGACGCCAGGAGGCTGCCGAAATTTCATGTGAACATATGACTGTACTCGAACCTGATTTGAACTCAAAAGAACAAGAGCTTGGACTCAAATGAGAATGAACAGTAGATTTGTGGACTCGAAGCTGAACACAACTCAAATGACTAATAATGACTTGAACAAATAAACATGGGACTTGAATGAAATACAAAAAAAAGCTTTGAACTTAAAAGAATTGATCGCAAAAGACATTGATTTGGACCTAATCTGAACTTGAAAGAATTATGTAAAAGATCATAATTGAACTTGGACTTGGGTAAATAAGGTGAAATTCAAATTTGACTTGAATAGTCAAGAAAGAAGACTTGTAAATAAGATTCAAGTCCTAATGGCAAAAGAGCATACAAGTATCAAATGAAGAGTCTGGAGTCTGGACCATCCAAATAAACATCAGTCAATTGACAGAAGATTTGTGCCAAATTCTCAAGCATACATGATTTGTTCACAAGCAAGTGAACAATAGGGAGGTTGACGATACCATAACATGAAAAACAACCTATAATGTATACAATAGATTGTTCATAAATGGAGAATGTGCAACAAGTATAATAATCTCCATGCAACCAATCTAAGCTTACAGATACATGAACATACAACCTGTGTATGAAGGATGGCACATTCGTGATACATACGAGTCCCTATGAGGTCAAAAGCACCATGCTTACAAAAACATCACATGGTTGCATAATGCATATGTGTATCCTATATGCGCTATTGGAATCTCCAACGCAAACAATAATTCACCTGTTGCACTGCAGAACGATAATGGAGGACCCATCGCCGCAAATAAATTGTGAATGACAAAGATGGACACGATACAAATGTAATAGATTCCTACGACAATCCCTACAAGGTTGAATGAACTATGCTTGCAAACAACAGTAATAAGTTGCAGAGTTCATATGCGACTACCATATGTGTTAATATAATCTCCAATACAAGCAAGTGCCTGTAGATTGAGATGGCAATACTGGCATTCGATAGTGGAAGACCAGTCCCTGCAAATAAATATAATCATCAAACCACCTGAGATTGGTGAAAGGTGATTATGATGCAAGAACAATGATTCTCCTACGAATATTTCCAATAGATCATAGTGAATGCAACGGGTCCCTGTAAATAAGTATGAACCATTTATAGATAACAACAGTGGGTATCTCGTAAGTACAACGAACCCTTGTGAACACAAGTACATATATCACATACAACAACGGCGATTGAGATGCTACGAGTACATCAAGTATGAAGGCAACTCGATGTGCGGAGAAGGAGACACCTCCCGGTAGAAGAGATGAGATGTTTGAACAAATTAGAATTAAACTTCCTGGTGTTCCAAGATTTTTTCTTGATCTTATACTTGGGAAGAAAATAGTTCTAACATCCAAGAACACTGTAAATAACAAGTCTACTATATTAAAGAGCTTGAAAAGAGTTCTTTTTAAGACAGCGATCACTGATTTCAAAGTCTAGAAAGACCTCCCGGTGAATGAGAAAGAGGAGTCAACATCAGAATGATGAGGTGCCTCACGACATCTAGATAATACCGCCACCGGATCTGCAACATTCGTATTAGCGGACATAAGGCGTATATAAGCTCCCAAATGAAATGTTGTGTGCATTCAAATGACAGTTACCTGCACAACTAAAATATTTCAAAGTACCCCTGCACATGCACCGTAGTTTGTATACACATAGGTACACAAGGGGTATGTCCAATCAATGAAATCACAAAACTCGCATAGGCCCCGACGAGTATGTTATTGGTACACACGTGACATCTAGGGATGCTGCGCGGGTCAATAAGTGAATTCAAGTTCGGACCCGATCCTTCTATGCGGATCAATAGGAGCCGATAAAGTTAGAACCTTTAAACAAATATACGGTTGTGACGACCGGTATATTTATTTTAATACATTTATATTAGACCTTCAAGACCTATAATCAAGATAATTCACTAATGAATGCATAAAGCCTATGAAACTCGATCCTCCTAAGCAGGTAAATAGAAGTAGGCAGGGTTTGAATCATCGAATAAATATGCGGTCACGAAGTCGACCGAAATATTTATTTTATACATTCATATTAGTCCTTCAAGACCTTTAACAAAGAAAATTCACAAACAAATGTGTAAAGCCTATGAAACCCGATCCTCTATCGGCAAGTTGATAGGGTCGACAAAGTTTAATCAAATGAAAATGACCCCAAACACCCCGTTGATGGCCGTGTTGAATGTCAATCTCAACTAGAGGGGTCCATTCCAAATATTTCAAAATGTCATCCCGAATATCTAAAAATCCAAAAATTTCAAAATCCAAATATTTAAAATTGAAATAAACCATCCAACCACTTAAAGCAAATTCATCCACCCTGCACAACAATTTACCGGGGTGGATAAATTAAAATTTACTTCAGCTCATATAGAGCTAATGTCTAGTCGAAAATATTACTAGGATCCATTCTCAAATAATCTCCGGCCAATAAGGATGTGGTACGTGTCCTCTGATCAGCTGTTTTGCCGCCAAATGGCACCGCAGGATAAAAGATCATGACTCGGGGCCCTTTGAACCGAGTGATTTTTCCGCCAAATGGCACCACGAAATATTGGTTATGGCCAGAGTCAATACGCTCCTTAATGGCATCAAATCCTTGAGATATGAATCAATGTGATATAATCGATAGGGCACAAAGCCCTCTGTTAACTAAGATGGATTCAAATTTGTCCCCTTAGGCAAATACCCATCCCAGGTCTATAAGGTACCCTTGGACGAAGCAACCTATGACTACCGACAAGGATCATTCTGTCAGGTTGGGTCAACTACCTCCTTTGACTAAGTAGACCAGGGACCACGATGGCACGGCACAACGAAACCAAGGGATCTTGATCGGGACTATCATCCATTCCCCCACCATCCGCTTTAAGTGCAAGATGGTGAAATTTCTACTTTAAATATCAAACTTCTCAAATATCTCTATCCAAATTTTCAAACTTTCAAACCTAATTCCCAAATCTAAACTCATTCCGTTACTAGCTAGATAATACGTATCTCTACGTATCTGATTGACGACTAGCCTTAATCGAACGTTCTCTCTCATTACCAGAAGGGATAAATAACTATAGGGGCTTGCACCCTATGATGCACCGACACTCCGTTTTAAGAGGCATGGAGTGTCGGACACAAACACGCGCCCGACACGGAAGGGACACGTGTCCGACACGTTTTGAGCGTGTCTAGTCTTTTTAAAAAAAAAGCGTAAGCCGGACAAACGTGTGCGCGTGTTCGGCTATTTCATAATTTAAATTAAAAAAAAAAAGGAAAACACATAGATAAGCACCGGTTCATTCTCGAGTCCGACCTAATCCCGCTATTTGCATTCATTCGAGCGAAGGCAGTGGATTCTTCACGCGACTCGCGAGCAGCCGCACTCGCGCACCATCGAGATTCTTCCCGCACCGTCACCTTCAATTTACGGCTGCACCGTCGCCTTCAGTTTCCGGCCGTCCCGAGCTGGCGAGCACTCAATCCCTTTTCTCGTTCTTCCTTCTGCATGCTGCCGAGCAAACCTTCACCCGAAAAAAAAAACTTCTATAAGTTAGATTTTGATTTTTTTTGCCATTCGTCATTTCTCTCAATTTTTTCTCATTTATCATGTGGACTTGTATTCACAAGAGGATGTAATTTTTTTCTTAAATAACTTAGGTTATTTTGGGTTTTGAAAAAAAAATACCTAAATAGTTGCGTCTATAGGAAACCAAAACTCAGATCATAAAGTCCTCACAAAATGAGGGCAAATCTTTAGGTAGTGTCTTATCTACAAACCCATCTGCCTTCCAAAATTTACCCCAGAAATTAAATCCGTTAAAACTCCCCCGAAAAAAAAAAACAAACAGTGCGGGCGGAGGCCGAGGCCGAATTTACGGAGCCCACAAATGTTAACAAAATTATGCATGCTATTTGCAGTGTGCAATTGCTCATACATGACACAAATAATGTGTGCTATTTTGAACACCTACGTTGCGCTAAGCAAATAGCATCATACATGTATCATGTCATGTCGTGCACTATAGCGTGCGTTACTTTGTGCCATTGACATGTATGAATTTTAATGGGTTAATGTTAACAATAATCACTCGGTATTTTTATAGGATCAAAGGATATCTTAGTATGATAACTTGAAGTATCTTGAATCTACCATATGGAAAAAGGGCAATATAGATGTGGATTAACCTTTCAAGTTACAACTAGATGTTTAAATTGAAGAAGTGTCATTGAATTTTTATGTGAAAAATATATTATGAAGACTTAAAAGGAAAATTTTATAAAATTGCAGCCAAACCAATGATGTTATATAAATCCAATGTTTGAAATTGCATATTAGGATATTGAGGTGTTTTTTTCCATGAGGCGAGGCATAAGCCTCAACGTATTTTAATTCATAAGCCACAAAATTAAATCATTAAATTAATAAAAAATATGATAAAATAAGTAACATGCTAATATAAAATAAGATATTAATGTAACATCATAAAAAGTCAAAGTAAGGCCATTAAAGTCATATATTGCTACAACTAACATTAAATAAATAGTATCCCTCACTCCCAGTTCAACATAAACAAGTAGTCTAATATCATAATTTATAAATTTAAAATTCTTCGACCCTCAACACTTAAAGGATCTTCATTAAAATTATCATTATAATTAAATGCTTTCTTTCCTCCCTCATACTAAAACTAACAAAATGGGTTTATAACAACAAGAGAGGCGTTGAAGGAGAAACGATGGCCATGAAGCTACGATGAAGATATAGCAAAATCGGGTAGAAGCTTAAAAGTGTTGGTTTGCGCATCTAGGAGTTTGAAGCTGTGTAGTTCTTCTCAAGCTTGATTTGATTTATTTATGGTAAATATGTTTACTTATGTATAAAAAGTTATAAATTTAAACTTTAAAATTGCTAAAAAGTCATTTTCAATTTTAAACCTATTCAAATTTGTGTAAAAATTATGTTGAGGCTTGCCTTGAGGCCCGCCCCACCTCAACTAAGGCATAAGCCTAATCTAACAAGCATGAGGCATACTCTTGATTGCCTTTTTTTTTTTTAATTGTATTAAGCAGAGCCTCTAATTATGTAATTTTAAACCATGTATAAATTTAAATGTTTGGTTATAAAGAAGTGCTATCTAAGTGATATTGAAACAAGAATGTCAAGATGGCTGTGCGGTAAAAATAGGAAAGATAAATAAAAATGATTATATTAGAACAAAGATTGGAGTAATATTTATTGAAACCACAATAGACTTTCATGATTTGAAAATGTACAACAAAGGATAAAAAATGAGTTAAATAAAATTAGCATCATAAAATTAGAAAGAGTAAGGAGAAGACATAAAGTTATATGGATAGAAATTCAAAATGATTTGTGAATAGATTTAACAATTTAACACTTCAAACAACATATAATAGGAATGAATAAAAAATAGAGATTCACCAACCCCAACTATTTGGGATAAGAATAATGATGATGAAGATGTAGACATAATAAGAAGCAAAAATAAACATTTTTATTGGCTTAATATCAGGTGATCAAGTTATGTTAGCTGATAACAGGAGCTATCATAGCATTTAGTAATTGCTCCTTTTAATTGGTCAAGCCCTGATTGGTTTTGTCTTCACTGCCGCACATCTATAGTTCAAGACCTGTTGCTCCTCCCCTTTGGAGAAGTTTGTTTTCAGATTTTTGTCACCACACTTTAGATTTTTATAGACTACCTTGTGCTTGCTGGAGCTTGTGTTCTTGTTTTCTACTTCGTGTACAATTGAATGGTAATTTGTGCTTTTACTTTAATATATCAGCCATTGCCCTCGTATTCGTGCAAAACTAAAAATTAGTTGGGACGTACCTCTTGTATCTATAATACTCCTCGTGAGCTCTCTTTAGCTGGCGCCTTAACGTGGCCATTGTTTTTTCATCAGTATCATAATCCATATCATTTTCTCCCAATCTACCTCCTGAAGGCTTGAAAGATGGATCTTCCCGAAACTGAGGAAAATGGATTAATCTCTAGATTAAAGACTGCTGACAGCTTTATCTAAAGAAAAATAGACGAGAATGAATTTATAGAAATAACTACCATTTGGACCAGCATGTTATCAATAACATTCATATAAGGTCTCAAAGGATCCCTCTTGGACATTTGTTTGGATGTGGCTTGCGCAACCTAGAAAAATACACAGCAGGAACAGCGGATAAATTATCTGGTACTTGATATGGACAATGCCTAGAACACGTCATCAAAACAGAAAATACACATCTAGCATAAACCCTAAATATGAAGAAATTATTAATTTGTAAAATATAAACAATAAGTAAAGGAAAATTCATGATAAAAACTTTAATGATTCATTGATAACAAAGTCAATGCCACAAAATGCAATTTTAGAGTAACTAGACATAGAACCTCTATAAAATGATAGCAAAATCTGGAATATTTAGGCCGCAATGGGAAATGGAGAAAATATTCAAGCTTCCTAAACATAGTACACTACACCTACCACAATCCATTGTCTACAATGTATTTTGTGACCACAATTTACCAAAAGCATGTCCTCCCTTTCCCCTAAGCATCCTAAGCATGTCCTCTCTTTCCCCTAAATTTCCTTCCCTGCCTTCCAAAGGACCCATTTCCCTAAGAAATATAAATTATAGAAACAAAAATTGGTAGGGGGTTGGCGGTCGTCATCTTACTTCATCCTGTATTCAAACTTCACCCAATACTTCTTCCTTGTCAGCCTTCAATTTATTCTCACTTCTAATTCTAACATCCCATCTGCAACATAATGATTTGCAGAATGGGCTGAAAAATATAAAGTTATAAACCCGTACTTCTGGGTTAGTTAGGTGTTTGAGCTTGTTATTTCTAATTTCCATTAATAAAAAAAACAGTGTCATCATATGATTGAAGCATGTATCAGGAGGGAAGTACAAATTAGACCTGCTTGCTAGGAAAGAAAATTGATGCTTCCACTGCCCCATCACTTGCTTTTGAAAAAAACATTTTGAATGGAGATGAAAGTGCCTACTATTAAGTAGCTCTTAATCAAATAAAACCATATATCTTTTACCAATTATAGATTGAAGAAATAAATAAATAAGCCAAAATATAACGCTAATTACTTGTAGTATGCATGGGAATTTCTTAGAGAGGAAAGGAAAGGAAATCAAAATAATCTGATAAGTCTTAGCATAATGTGCAACAAAAAAGAAGATCACTGAGAAACTATAGTTATCTTTATTAAAATATTAAACTCGATTAGAGTATATTATAGAGGAACATATACCACAATTGCATTTGAAAATTCCTTATGAGCGTCATCTAATTTCACAGCCATTTTTGCAACCCTGTGAGAAAGGAATTTTTGGCGATTGCCCCAATCAGCATTCCTCCAGATGCTCTTCGGTATTTCACTCAATCCAAAACCAAGAAGAAATGCACCAGTCACAAGCCCAAAAGTATTTGAGCAAGCCATGGCTAAGGCTACAAAGTCTACACTCCTGTAAATAGAATGGACAATGTTTCGGCGGTTAAATCTGGGAAAACTTAGTAGCATGCAAATGAAGGAAAAGAATAATGCCTATCACTAATAATTGTTGAAATTGTCGCTTACTTCCATAATATAATGCAGTTCAGAATAAATCATGTTTGAAAAATTACATACTCAATGCATAAAGCTCCCACCAATGCAAGATTTCAAGATTTGTGAACATGTTTCAGCTTCTGAGCAATATAACAGCATGTTAAGCACACATATTTAGGGTTCTATGGTTAAAAAAGCGGTTACTATGAGATATAGGACATCTTAGGGTAAAGGTTTCTCGTGCATATCTCAACCACATAGTAGAAAATGCACAAATACACAAAATTTAATATGACATTAGCTTTTACTCCAAACAATTGGTATACTTGGACAAAAACTAAAAAAAATATAGAATTCAATTTGGACAAAAGATTATGGTCTTCTATTAGAAGTTAATGCCACGTATACAATTGAAATTTCATGTAATGGAAACAAATTTAAATTATCACAAATTTGACCAAAGACGATCTCACTTTCAATCATTAAAGAAAACATAGAAGAAGAAAAAGGATAACAAAAAATACATAGATTCACTAGAAAAATAGAACTTATGCTTGAAAAAATTAGCCTCCCCCAAAACTTTTAAGTGTAACATTTGATTAAGGAATTGAATCCTGAAGGTAAACAATTTGCACATCCAAGTAAAAATTCTACTCAGCATTCAATGATTAGTGTACATACCTCAATCTAATATTTGAAATCACACAAATCAGATGTGTTTTTCATCTGACTTATCGTTGTCTTCCATTGTGTTCTACCATGCTATATAGTGTCACAATGTCTTGTGTTGTTAATGAATGTTTCATAAAATCATGTTAAAATTGTTGAAAGACTTGTGATGGTTTAGTGAAAATTTTTGTTGATTGATAAGAGTAGATAGAATGATTGATTGAATGAATATATTATGAATTTTATATAATAATAAAACTGCTATTGTTAAAAAAGTTGAAGCATGCAACAGCAAGTTTCAAGAAAAATCAGGAAAAAACCTATGTTGGAGATCTTGGTGCCCACGCCCTATGCACGCACAACCTCCCGCCCATCCCACACACATCATGCTCTTGGTGGGACCCACATGCCAAACAATCTTGATAGTGATCTTTGAGGATTAAAGGTTCTAACCATTGGATGTATCTCCTCATGGACCTAGGATTGCAATACATTTGCTCCCTCTATTCGTCAGCCCCTCTTTGTTTATTTTTTTCCCTTTTTTCTAATTAGCTAATTAGCTTTGATTTATTTCCAATGTGACTCTTGAAGGGGTATATATATATATATAGACCTTCATACTTGGTATATAAAATAAAAAATCAAAGTAATTTTAACATATTTTCTATTTTTCTGCATAGTAACAAGTGATGTTAAGGCTTCCATCTTCCCATATTTATTCTTTTTTTCTTCTTCCTTCTTGTCGAGATTCTTCCTTATCTTCAAGATATCTAGTTTCTTTTACTTCTCTTCTAAGGAGTCAACCATCATAAATGATGAAAAAAAATAGAACTACAGGGGTTATAAATACATTTTACTATTGCAACGCTTCACCAAACTATTTGAATAGATCCTACTAATGTAATTTTAGTAAATTCAACTATTTAGCTATCAGTTGTATTACATATTTCAAAAAAAACCTTTAGGTTATCTATCAAATCTGAAAATACTACTGAATTATGCTTCCAAGCCAAGGTTTAAAATTGCAATTTGATATTGCGGCATTAAGGGAGGCGAGGCATAAGCCTCGAGGTATTTTGAGATATAAGTTTCAAAATCAACAAATTGCATGAAATAAGAAGTACAGTACACACATCAAAGTATGAAGTAGAAAAGTAACATATCAATATCCTAACCTATTATCATATTAGAAAGTAACTACTAACATCTTAGTATAAGAAGAAGTAACAAACTACAAAAAGTTTCAGTTAACAAATTAACATCCAAGCATCAAGGCGCGAAGTAAGAAGTGTTATATAAACATCAAAGCAAGAGTTCCTTGTGGAGGAAATAGACTTAGCATGTCGTCGACGATAGCTATGATGGAGACGACCAGCGGTGTGAGTGAGAAGCGGAGAAGGAATTGCGTGAGAGAAGAAGCGCTCATATAATGGCAACCACATGAGACCGAATGTCTATGTGGTATTATTTGGGTAAGTGGAAGTGTTTCTTTAAATTTATTTAACTTTATATATATATATATATATATATATATATATATATATATGTATATTCATATAATTGATTGTATTTTATACATGCTATTCCATTTGAAGATAGTTATAGATGAGACAATGTAAATTCTAATACATGCATTAATATCGAAATTATATGAATGAAACGAATGAAATATTATAAGCATGTGGAAATTTATCAATATATGTGAAAGAAAATATATGCAAAGGAAATGGAAAATAATTGAAATGCCTATCTATACATCTAAGAATACTAATACATAAACATTAAAGGAAAATGACATAGTATCAAATGAAACAAAAAAAGGAAAAGGTTATGCATGTAAAGTATACAGGAGTTCACCCCCGTATGATACTGACTGGGGAAGCAACGTACTCGTGCACGTAAAAAGGGAAAAGGTAATGAAAATGGATTAAGGAAATGGAAATGGTTGTACCTTTGAGTACATTTAGACGGTGCTCCTGTATGAATTTAAAAAGGGAAAAGGAATATAGATTAAAAGAAATGTTATGAATGAATATAATGTTATATGATGATATATATATGATTGAGAAATGTTTAAATGAAATTCATGAAAAGAAATGCATAAAGTGAAGCAAAGGTACACTAATGTAAGTGTTGAACTTTATTTTATCTTAGTGATTTTCATGTTTATTAAGTGAAGATGAGAATTATCCACTGAGTTTACTTAGTAAACTCAAACCACGAGTTTAAATGTTTCAGGTAAGTTCCTAAAGAAATAATGGCTGAAAGAGAAGAACATGTTTACAGAAGACGAGGTACAAATGACAACAAGTAAAATATATTTTGTGTTTTTAATGGCTCTTTATCATGAATGATGTAGTATTATGTTTAATGAATTTTATCGTCCAACTTTTCGTACCCGCCTCGTTAGATCGAGCATCCGGGCCGAGTCGTGACAATTAATAAATGAAAACCATAAACCCAAAAAACTCAAGCTATAAAGAAAAAAACTAATATATTAGGAACTAAAATATTATTTTCACTTTTAATGTATATGATTATCTCCAGTCATGTGTGTATGACAACACATGATACATTTTAAGAATGACCATATATTTATATGATTTTAACTAACATTTTTTTAATTATTTTTTTGCAAATAAGCAGCATATTGACCTCCATATATATTCCACAATCAATTGAAGTGTGGAACGAAAATAATGTTTGAACAATAACTCATCACGCAGGTAGCAAGTCCCAATGCCACGACGGTGGCCAACTACCTCAACATTGCCCATATTTAGTTTGAAATGCCTCAACCTCAATAAAAATCACCTAAATGTCATCGGTTTACAAAATGGAATGCATCAACTCGTTCGGAGCACCGAATATACCCAAGGAGCAACTTTCACACACAACTTGATTAAGCAACCACCAAAACAACGAACTACAGGTACAACATTGTGCTCAAAATCATATTAAACATCGTTCATTCATGAGACAGAATGTGTAATTGCATTCAAAATGTCGAATCTGCCAAGGAAGGGCCTTCTGTGCTCAATTCTAGTGAACACGATCAAAAACAATGGTCTACAAATGCAACATTGCTCAAAGTCACCGAACATCTTCTGTTTATGTGACAGACTTCGTCGATGCATCCACGAGTCAAATTAGCTAGAAATAACACCTATACTGCATTGATCGCTACACGAGTTGAAAAATCGAAATTGGCAACACACAAGGCGACGAAATGAAAACTATAATACATGAAAAGCTATGAAAAGTAGGAGGGGTTGATTTACACTTTTTTATGTTATTTTAAATATAATTCCTTATCTAAACCATCATCCCTAAACAATCACCACCCAAATCCTGCTGAACAAGCTTCCATTCCATCACATCTCAATATTTTTTTTTCCCAAAAGCGCACAAAATCCCACTCGCTTATTTTTTTGCAAGCAACAAGCCACAAGTTAGCATCCTTCCTCCTCACAGCCCTTGACCCCAACCCACAAACCCCCACTCTCTGCTCACACACCGGCTCCCGTCATAGCCAAGCCTCATAGCAGCCTTAAGTTGTGCAAGCCACCTGTTTGCACACACCTAGTGTCAGCCACCACTAGCCCCAACTGACATTGTCCAACCACCTACTCCCAATCTAAGACATGACCCTCCTCTCTTCTCGATTTTGCACCAAAAGCTACCTTCCTTGGGCCAATACACCCCCAGCCAACATCAACACACATCCACTCTCCTGAGCACATCATTGCACTATCCATCCCACAATACCCACGCACATCGCATACAAGTCTTCCCATGCCACCGGCCAACCTTTAGATTGTCGCCAACACCTAGCTGCCATGTAACCATGTCGTCGATGCCCTAGCTCGCTGCCGCCAACCACTCAACACCCTCTTTCTTGCACTCTTTATACCTCCCTCTCTCTTCCATCTCTCTCCCTTCCCTCTAGAGAGAGTACATAACATATCCAAAAAAAGTAAAAAAAATGAAAAAGAAAACGAAAAGAAAAAAGAGAAAAGAAAATAGCTTCACAAAAATTTTGCATTTTTGCCATCGATGTAATCTCGTTGTCGCCACCACCTCACACGCAAAGTTATAACCCACAAATTCAAAAAAAAAACTCAAAAAATGTGCAAATACATTGAAATCGTGCCAATACGTTATACAAATGCATCAGAAAGTATATAAGAGAATCGCATGAGCGCACCAAATAGCGCATAAATACAATAGGAATATACGAATATGTTGTGCAAATGCACTAAAAACTGTGTAAGGGCATCATGCAAATGCATCAAAAATCATGTACGCCATTTTGAAAATACATTCAAATTCCCCATGTGTGCTCCAACAAATATGCTAAACACGCAAACACAAAATTCTAAGAATGCTACGCAGGGTTAAAAAGGAGCTAAATTAAATCTCTTTCTCAAATTAAACACCCATATGTGCTCTGACCAGTAAATTAAATTCCTACAAAGCTACAACCAATGTTCAAAATACTATGCGGGTTAAATGTGAACTTAAATTAAAGTCCAATCCTCCTCCTTGATAGAAATAGAGTCAACAAGACTTGAATTAATAAATTAATATACGATCGTAAAATCCATTAACATATTTAATTTATATTCGCATTAGACCTCCAATATATTTTTCAAAAGAAATTTATTACAAAATGTAAACTCTCGAATTCAATACTCGTATAACAATTCACAAAGTTGACATTCAAACCTAATCCTCTACCAACAAGTGGGAAGAGTTGACAAAATTTAAATAATAAAATAAAATTACGCAAAACTCTTGATGATGGTTTTGTTGAAAGTAAATCTCAACCAAAGAAATTAATTCTCAAAATTGAATTTTCTCAATTGATTTTAATATTACCCTGATGATAGTTGCGTTGACAAAAATCTCAACCTGATAGAACTATATGATTTTAAAAAATGCCCACAAATTCTAAATGTTAAGCTCTTGTGACTTAAATTCCAATAAAATCAAAAGAATTTAATAATTATCAAAGTCCAAAAATATTCAAGTGAAATTCATCTCCTAAACTTAAAACAAAATCTATCTGTTCTCCACAACCATTTGTCGGGAGTGAAAAATTTGATAATTTTAATTCAACAAGAGTCAATATCTTATCGAGAACATCATAGATTTATTTTCAAACTATTTCATGTCGATAAGGATATGGCATGCGCCCTCTAACCAATGGTTATGCCAATAAATAGCACCACATGTAAACAATTATGACAACCATATTGTTTTGTCACGACAAGGCAACATTAACTTACAGCCACTAGTAAAGCTCGTACGTTCCCCATTGCCTAAAACCTTAAATAATGAAATATAGAGTACACTTGATAAAGCACAAAACCTTATATTAGCTAAAATCGACCTGAATTTATCCCCTTAAACAAACAAACAACGTGTGTCTACAAAGTAACTTTGGATAAAAAAACTCATGGCTAGCAACAAGAATCCTTCAATGAATACGGGGCCTAAGAACCCGAGATAATAGAACCATGGGATCTTATTCAGGCTCGTCGTCATTCCTCCAACCATCCACTTTAAAGTACAAGGTGGTAAATTTCAAATCATAAATACCAAGTCTGCTACCACTATGCGCTTGATTCTTAGTGTTTATCTAACAATTAGCCTCAATCGAAAGTGTTCTCCTATCATTGTGAGAGGTAATTAATTATAGGGGCTTGAACATATGAGAAGAATGAACCCAAATCCTAAAGTCCTCACAAAATGAAGACAAAATCTCTAGATAATGCCATATCTTTAATTTTTTCTGTCTTCTAAAAAGTTAACTCGGAACATCAAAACTCTCCCAACGTAAACATAGTAGGGTGCAAATTTTCGGAGCCCACACAACATATTTGGTTGTAACTACTACTCTTATTTTGGTATATTAGTTCCAAACATAGGACTTCATGCTTCAGAAAATTGAGAACCGGAACATGTTTATGTTCATCATAAGAATTATCCATTCCTGGAAAAAGAAAGGACAACAAAGACAAAGCAAGCCAAAGAATCAAAAACCATAATCTCGATCATAGTATCAGGGTAAAGTTGCAAACACTAACCAATTTCCATGCATGATGATCAATAGTAAGAGTCCAAGAAGGCCGATTGATCCAACGATCAGATAAAAGACCAGATTCACATGAAAACTTGTTTTTAATCTTTCTTTCATAGTGAAATCTCCAGCATCTTCATAACCCTGAATAGCAGGAACCACAGCCCTGCTTAGAGAGATGAAAACAACTTAAATAATAGGTCACAAAACCAATTTACATGATAAAACAATAACTGCCAGCTGTCTCTACAAGTTATAACATAGACACACTGCAAATCAATCTAAATGTTGAAAGTTGAAACTTCTAAGGTACTAGCATTGACAAAGTAATGTTATTAAAATATGATACAATGCAATGCACAGGCAGATGGGGCAAATCAATCTAAATGTTGAAAGTTGAAACTCCAATCAGTCACGGCATTTCTTGGAGGAAGCATTGGTTCGGCAGAAACTGCAGGAAGCATTGGTTCGGCAGTATTCTTTCTTAGTATTTATCTGATTTCACTGTCTTCATACAAAACTTTCTTTTATACCTTGACCTTTCTTTCTTTTCATTCTTTCCTTATTCCATTGGTCCTTCCTAACCATTGTTTCCCTTTGTTCAATCTTACCTTTCATGCCATACCAATCTTTCAGTCCCTCTTTTTTTCCTATTGCCTCATATAAAAAAAAATTAGGATTCTCGCTAGTTTCATATAAACATAGATCATTGTAAACCCTGCAAATGTTAATATCAAGGAAGCGAAGCCCACTCATAAGCATAGAGCATACCACGTCAGTGCAAAGGTACTCCAATATGACCAGCTCCAGAAGAAAGTGATTCCTGCCTTATCTTGCCGGGCCATTGTCTGTATGAAAGTAGCGAGGAATTAATTGAATCATCGGAAGTGGTCGGCCAAAATGAAAATACTAATTAAATGAAACTGAAAAGCAGTTCAAAACCAGACAAATTATCAAGAAAAAAAAAATGAGTTTAATAGGCAGAGAATTTGAGACGAAGCAACTATTCAACTAAAGCTTATCACAATGTTGTTGCTAACTTATGAAGGTTAAAACACACAGCCCAGCATAAAGAAGAATATGAAAACCATGCTATCAGTCTTTTTATAAAGAATGCAGTTACAATAAAAACAATCACATGGAGTTACAGAAATCACCACCTAACATCGTAATTAAGACTGAAATTAACAAAATTTCATTAGAAAACCATTTACTTTTGATTAATACCAACTCTATAAATAATTCACAAAAAACTCACTATCATGATCTCATTTGACAGCCGAAGGGCCATCTTATATTATGAGAATCCCTTAATATTCTCACAAACTCCTTGAAATAGCATATTTCTGATATATACGAGACGAACTTGAGAAAAACCCCTTTAAACAAAAAATGACTCAGTTAAAAAGTACTAAATTAGTCAACTGCTTTAGTTTTACAAATTAAACAATCCATTTAATATCATCTCCTCATTTTTAACTCTTCTATGGAACCACCTATCACCCCTGTTTGGGTCAATTTCCTCGGCTCCATTTACATTATTTCAACAAATCCAATTTATTCTTCTCAGGCTCTATGTTTGATAAACCTTTGCAAGCGTATATTCCTAAAGCTCATCCGTGAGACCGTCCATGGCTAGAGTTATGGTCAAATCAGTAGACACTAGTCCTCCTACAAAAAGATATGTTGACTGATTCCTTGTCTTGTGGCCATTGGAAAAAGGTATAAATTGAAGGCATTCATTCCTATTGTTCTTCTTGCAATTTTGGAATCAATTTTAGACATTTCAATGGAATCAGAGTCTTATGAGCTTGCCCCAGCTAGTCTCAAGGATATGGGCACCTCATCATCCACAAGCATGAAAATAATGCTAATGCTTCTAATATGTACGCAACTCATCTTTTTCTTATAATTGAAGATGTTAATAACCATTCTAAGAGCAGCATTATAATTATAATAAGAATCTTAAGAGTATTGATGCTCAAATGGATAAGAGATTTCAAGCCTTATTTACCAAATGAGGTAGAAATAAGACAAAATTGACCATCGCTGTCTAAGATTCACCAAGCTACCAACAAGACATTGCAAATGAGAGTTTATGTAATTTTCCTTTTTTTTTGAAGAATTCATCATCCTGTCATCATGTATAACTTTGTTTTGTATTTTCTACTATTACTCTAGAAATACTTCGTAATTGCCTAATATTGCACTCATATAACTAATTGATTATAAAATTATTTTTTTAGAAGAAAAAAAAACCATCACAACTTTTTGGATTGTAGTACAAAAGTAGGTAAGATTAGGACGTCGACACTAAGTAATATGCTATAATTTTATTGTGGCGAAAAGCAATGGTTGATGAAGTCTAAAACTAAGCTTAAATTTGAAGATTTTGAATGAAAAGGCAAAAGAATCAACGGACACAGGGATTAGAAGCATAGTTTAAAATTGCGCAATAAGAGGCGCACCTCTGCGCAATTCGGACCTAAAACGCCTCATAGCCTACGCAATTCTGGTTCCTTATGAGGCGTACGCCTCTTGCACTGTGAGGCGCGCCTCAAGGCGGAATTGCGCAATTATGTCTGAGGCGCACTCCTTTAATAAATGGGACCCACCCACTTAAGTTTAAGTGAAATAAGCCTCTCCCTCCCCTTTCATACACCCTACCCGAAACTAAGCAGGCAAAAAACCCGCACATCCACTCGGCCTCCCCTCTCGCACGCTCGACCTCCCTTCCCGCCGGCGCCGCCTCTCTCCGGCGAACTTGAAGTGTCCGGCCGCCCTCTAGGAGAAGTCCACAAAAGAATTTAGGTTTTTTTTTTTTAAGTTCAACAAAAGATTTTTCAAATGAAAGAAAATCTAGGGTTTTAATTTTTTTGAGATTTTTGTTTTATTTTGCATTTGTGCTTTAGGAAATATGGTTAGGAGCAAGGAAAAGTCTAATACATCATTGAGGCGTGATCCTTCTTGGAAGTACAGTGTAGAAGTTGATGTAGGAGGCGGCGAGAAGACGTATGTTTATTTAAAATGCAATTTTTATGATAAAGTGGTGAAGGGAGGAGTAACTTGCATGAAGGAACACTTATCCTGCTCACATAAGAATGTAGCGCCTTGTGCGAATGTTCCGGATAACGTGAAGGAGAAAATTACAGCTTATATAAAAAAAGTACGACGGCCAAACCTTTACAACATGAGCAATTTGATGAAAGGGTCGAACATGGTGCTGATTTTGGGAGCGAGAGTGGAAATGGCTCTTCCTCCACTATACATAATAGAGGTGCACGAGATCCTATAGACCAATATATGACTACTCCAGGAGAGGATAGAGGACAAGCACAGATGATGCCTGCGGCTGGTACCAGAGAGGGTCGACAGTAGGTTTGCATGGATATTGGCAGATTTTTTTTTTTAAATGTCATACCATTCAATGTTGCAACATCGCCAGCCTACTTCAATATGTTGCGGTCTGTAAGGTTGTATGGGAGAGGGTTGAAGGCACCTTCCATGTACGAGTTGCGAACATGGATTTTAAAAGAGCTGCAGAACACAGAGTATAGCATTGATGAGATTAAACGGACATGGATTGAGACTAGTGTTACTATTATGTCAAATGGGTGGTCTGACATGAAGAGCAGGAGCTTGATTAATATCCTTGTCAACAATTCCTACGGCACTGTGTTTTTACGATCAGTTGAAGCTTCAAATGAGGTTAAAAAAGATGAATTCATTTTCAATTTACTAGATGTGGTTGTTGAAGAGATTGGGGAGCAATTGGTTGTTCAGGTGGTGAGAGAAAGGAGGTTGAGGAACAAGGGGTTGAAGGATGATGAGGACCCATTGGTGTGTGATGATGTGGCATCTGATAATGAGTGGTTCATAGATGTTGAGATAGATTTGTCATTATCAGACCTGCAACTAGAGGATCTAAGTGTGGATGTCTTGAGAGGCGAAGCAGATCAAGTGGGCACATCCACTACTACCACACCACACACATCCACTAGTTCTGCATCACAACATCCAAATAAAGGTATTCAACATCTTCTTATATGCTAGTAATACATTATATTTATATCAATTGGGCAATTAACATGATAATGATCATTCCTATTGAACAAGGAAGAGAAAAGTGAGTCACATTGAAGATGATGAAGATATGACATTAATAGATATAATTGGAGAAGAAGATTCTCTTAAAGACCCATTTAGTGATGGGACATGATTGGATTAATACATCATTGAGGCGTGATCCTTCTTGGAAGTACAGTGTAGAAGTTGATGTAGGAGGCGGCGAGAAGACGTATGTTTATTTAAAATGCAATTTTTATGATAAAGTGGTGAAGGGAGGAGTAACTTGCATGAAGGAACACTTATCCTGCTCATATAAGAATGTAGCGCCTTGTGCGAATGTTCCGGATAACGTGAAGGAGGAAATTACAGCTTATATAAAAAAAGTACGATGGCCAAACATTTACAACATGAGCAATTTGATGAAAGGGTCGAACATGATGCTTATTTTGGGAGCGAGAGTGGAAATGGCTCTTCCTCCACTATACATAATAGAGGTGCACGGGGTCCTATGGACCAATATATGACTACTCCATGAGAGGATAGAGGACAAGCACAGATGATGCCTGCGGCTGATACCAGAGAGGGTCGACAGTAGGTTTGCATGGATATTGACAGATTTTTTTTTAAAATGTCATACCATTCAATGTTGCAACATCGCCAGCCTACTTCAATATGTTGCGGTTTGTAAGGTTGTATGGGAGAGGGTTGAAGGCACCTTCCATGTACGAGTTGCGAACATGGATTTTAAAAGAGCTGCAGAACACATAGTATAGCATTGATGAGATTAAACGGACATGGATTGAGACTAGTGTTACTATTATGTCAAATGGGTGGTCAGGAGCTTGATGAATATCCTTGTCAACAATCCCTACGGCACTGTGTTTTTACGATTAGTTGAAGCTTCAGATGAGGTTAAAAATGTTGAATTCATTTTCAATTTACTAGATGGGGTTGTTAAAGAGATTGGGGAGCAATTGGTTATTCAGGTGGTGAGAGAAAGGAGGTTGAGGAACAAGGGGTTGAAGGATGATGAGGACTCATTGGTGTGTGATGATGTGGCATCTGATAATGAGTGGTTCATAGATGCTGAGACAGATTTGTCATTATCAGACCTGCAACTAGAGGATCTAAGTGTGGATGTCTTGAGAGGCGAAGCAGATCAAGTGGGCACATCCACTACTACCACACCACACACATCCACTAGTTCTGCATCACAACATCCAAATAAAGGTATTCCACATCTTCTTATATGCTAGTAATACATTATATTTATATCAATTAGGCAATTAACATGATAATGATCATTCCTATTGAACAAGGAAGAGAAAAGTGAGTCACATTGAAGATGATGAAGATATGACATTAATAGATATAATTGGAGAAGAAGATTCTCTTAAAGACCCATTTAGTGATGGGACATGATTGGATTTTATATGTTATTTGTACTTTGGGAGTTTTGTTAAACTAATATTTTGTGGTTTTGTACTTTGGGACATGATTTTATTGCATCTATTTTCTAATTTTCCACTAATTTCACATATCATTTAGATGTTTTTATTGTATAATAGAATCTTGTTATTATTTACCTGCTAAAATCCTTAAATTCTTATTTACGCAATTCTGCATCCGTGAGGCTTACGCCTCACACCGTCTCGAGGCTTACACTTCGCCTCACGGACGAAAAACGTCTCGAGGCTTATTTACGTAATTTTAAACATTGATTAGAAGGACAAAAATTTATTGACTCTAGAAATGAAAGAAAAAAGAAAATTTTATGGGTATTTAGAAGGATTATAGGTGTTGCATGTTGGAAAGGTGAAAAATTGGAATAGCGTAGGAATAATAAAGGATAAATAGTTGAAAGCTAAAATTGATAAGGTGAATAGACTTAGTAACAGAGGATAAATAGTTGAAAGCTAAAATTGATAGGGTGAATAGACTTAGTAATACTGTAATAGAGTGACTGTTATTAACATAATTATTGTCAAAGTTTTATAAAGGTGGTTAATACTTATGCTCCTAAAGTTGAACTAAATCTTTTTTTTTTTAATAATAAACTTTCTTTTTACTTGGAAGGACAAAAAAAAAATCTTCTCATAAAAATTATAAGGTGATTCAAGGAGAAAGTTTAACCATATAATATGTAGTAATAAATAGTTATAAATTTATATCATTTTGTTTTTCTTTTTTATAGTAATAATTATGGTTGCATGTCTTAAGAATATTTAGAAATAATAAATATAAATAATTATCCTAGGAGAAGGCAGAGGAATTTGAAAAGTGAGAAACTTATAATCTTTTAAAATAAAGTAGCTAAGATTGGCAAATTGAAAATTTTTAATAGAGCCAAATTTGATGCAGAATTAGATAGCTAGTTCCATAAAAAAATGTCAGAGAAATTTTAGTAGAGTCTGGAACTAGATCGTACACTGATAAAGAAAGTACAAAAGGTTCAAAAAGAAAATAATATGCTATTAAAGAGTGACAAAAAACTGAATACTATGTGTCGAGACTGATAATGTTTATAAGAAAACTATAAATCTTTCAAAAAAGTATAGTGAGCAACAAAAAAGTTACAAGTACTGATAATCTATATAATAAGCTTCGTAGTAAAAAAAGTGAAAAAAAAGATATATATCACAAATAATGTAAGAGAAGAGAGTTCTAGAGACTTTGATCACATCAAATGCATTAAAGGCAACCATAATAGTATGGGTGTCAATATTTGACACGGCACGAAAATCCGACCCAAACCCGACCTAAAAATTTTGGGTTATGGTCAACCAGTTTGTCAAAAGGGTCGGGTTTGGGTTCAGAAAACCGACCCGTTTCAAAAAAGGGATCTGGAAACCCAAGCTTGACCCGGACCAACCCAAAACAATTCATGCCTGCACGCGGCACTCGCGACTCAACCAGGCCTGAAAGACCTCGCCGTCCGCCTGTCCCCCCCCCCCCTCTCCCACCGGCCTTGCCGCCGGGCCGTCCGCCCGCCCCATCGATCACCATCCCGCGGCCCCGCCGTCCCTTCGAGTCTCCGACGACGTTTCTTCCTAGGCTAAACCCTAAGGGCTAGGCTCTCCCCGCAGACCGTCGTCCCTTCGAGTCTCCGACCGCCTCGCCGGCTCTCCCCACCATTTCGCTAGCTCCGCCGACTTCGCCTGAGTCGTCGCTTAACCCGTGAACCGAGTCTGGTCGGGTCAACCTGAAAACTGGACGAGTCGGTTCGAGTCATGTCAAACAGTAGCGGACCAATGTCGGGTTTGACCCGAACCCGACCCGTAACCCGATTTTGACACCCCTAGATAATAAAAATGTGGTTAAAGATGAATACCAATGAAAAATAAAATACTACTTTAAGAAAATATATTTAACAAGATTTTCAAGAAAAAAATTGTGGAATAGCATAATGAAAAATTTAAAGAAATACATTATTTACTGAACAAAAAAGTAAAGCAAAATTAACCTTAAAAAAGATGCATAAAAATAAGGCTTTAAGTCCAATAATTACATTAATTGTTTTACCAATTTTTAAGAACAAATGGGATACCTAAGATTGTTCTAAGTTCTAACTAAGAATCTCACATATGAGTCAAGCAATACAACCATAAGAGAAAAAAAAAGGAAACATACTCTAAACTTTAAAAAAAAATTGAAGGATCAATTTAATTTCATGGCGATAAGATCCACTATAAAAGAGATATTTGGTATAATAAAAGTAATTTAAAAAAAAAAAAGTAAGTATAGAGTAGAAATGGTCTTCATATAATTTTTATTGATCTTAAGAAGGCATATAATTAAGTACCATAACTTGGTTCAAGACAATTTTTATTGGTTTTTTTAATACTGAAAAGGCATATACTATAATCTTTATAAGAATAATTTCACCATGTTATGGATTGAATTGACTTGAACCAAGGGATTGATAAGAATATAATTTGTATTGTGATATGCCTTGGTATCAAAAATAGCCAAGGAACAAGGACAAATTCAAGAAGCAGCTGATTTTTATTGATAAACCCAAAAATATGTAAAAACAAGATATAGTGTCCCTCTTTCGAGAGGATGACCTTCTCTTCCAAACCCTAGACACCGCTAAGATCCCTCACAAAAATAGTAGACAGCAATCACTAACAAAATTTTGCATACAAAACATAATATAAACCCTACTACTTAAAGCAAATAATAAACAACAAATTTCATAACATCCCTCCCCAATTCCCTATCAAATCAGCCCCCAAATATGCCCTCTCCAATTAGAGAACATCTCCTAATTAATCCCCTCCAAATTAGCCCCCAAATCAGCTCTCTTTCCCTAAATAAAAAATTCCTAATTCCCTCCCAAATATGAATTCAAATTAGCCCTCTTTCCCTAAATAAATATTTCTTAATTCCCTCTCAAATCTGAATTCTATGGTAAGTAATTAAAGGTGGAATTATTCCCCTTGAGCCCGTTTCTCTTCTTGCCTGCCGCCCACACTAGTGGAGCCTAGTAGCTCAACCAGTCCATCAATACTCACCTTCTAAAGTGTCATTTTTTCCTCAAGGTAGAATGAAGGAAACTGTTGTTGAAGCACTGGACTAATAGCATTGAACTGAAAAATGGTCTGACATTGGGTGAAATGATCCTTGGCTCCAGTATCCCTCTGATCAATCTCTCAATCTCATACCTCTGGATTTGGAGATAATGGTATAGACAAACACTGACAAATGAGACTTCTTCCTTCAAGATGATAGCATGTTCTTGTTCCTGCAAAAGAGGCAACCCTTGAACTAGCTGGAATGCCTCTCGATACTATTGTAGGAGTGGTTGAATCATATATGATTCTTCTATCTTCTCTCCATCCTCTTCTCTTTTCAAACCTTACAGCTCCACCAAAAATACCTCTCTTTCACCCTTTCCCCTTAGAAATGGCTCCAAATGTGGCATCTCCTCTTCTTCCACTAAAATTTTCACCTCCTGATCCTCCCTCATCGTCCGTATATTAGGGTTTCGGGTTTCCCCCACTTCCTTGTCCAGCCAATGGTTCCCTTGCCTTGGATTATGTATTCTCGGCTTGAAACTCTAACATCATTTTCATCATCTCTCCCAGATTTGAAAGTCTGCCCTCAATTACTGAAATTAGCTCTCTGAATTCAAATTTCCAACTTCCTCATCAAGCCTATTCTCACATGCATTAACCTTCTTAGCCTCCATAGGTCCCAAAAAAATGCGCTCTGATATCAATTTGATATGCCTTGGTATCAAAAAATAGCCAACGAATAAGAACAAATTTAAGAAACAGCATATTTTTATTGATAAACCCAGAAATATGCAAAAATAATATACAATGGTCATCTTTCGAGAGGAGGACCTTCTTTCCCAAATCCTAGACGTTGATTGAATCCCTCACAAAAATAATAGACAACAATCACTCACAAAATTCTGCATACAAAACATAACATAAACCCTACTACTAATAGAAAACAATAAAAAACAAATTCCAAAACAGCCCTCCCCCCATTCCCTCTCAAATCAACCCTCAAATATGTCCTCTCCAATTAGGAAACATCTCATAATTAATCCCCTCCAAATCAGCTACCAAATCAGCCATCTTTTCCTAAATAAAAATGTTCTAATTCCCTCCCAAATTTGAATTCAAATATGTCATATTTTCCTACATAAATCTTTCTTAATTTCCTCCCAAATCTAAATTCTATGATAAGTAATTAAAGGTGAAATTATTTCCCTTTGAGCCCCTCTCTCTTCTTGCCCGCCGCCCACACTAGTGGGGCCCACAAGCTCAGCCGGTCCATCATATTGATCTTGAGAAGGCATATACTTCAAAAAGTTATAGATTCCTTCATCCTAGGTGGTCCCAAATAGACAAGGGTAAAAACATGTGCCAAGGGCACGCACTTTGTGGAAAAATTGAGTTTACTAACATAGAGCGTTAGCTAGACCAATCGGCCAAAATCATGTCCAACACCATTGCATGCCTTAAAATGACATGAGTGAACCCTAATGTACCCCAAAAATGGTTTCAGTTTGATATCATAATGGTGCAAATGTACTGAGCTAAGTATCTCCTTGCATATCAAGATTCGCATGTTGGCATGTTCAGAATGAATGCGTTTAGATAGTTCAGCACAATTATATAGGATTTTAATTTGAAAGAGTTAGTGCTCCGCCTTACTGAATACTTTGACAATTGGTGTTGCCAGTTTAATGCTCATAGGTATGAAGTCCTTCAATAAAATTTGTCATAATTTTATGTTATGTTATGTTTACCAATAGATTTAGATTGAAGAAAAGAATTTCGCATTTACATTTCTGAAAATATTAAACCCTATCCACTGCAGAGGATAATGTTTGCATTCAGGCCAATTCATCTACCTTGGATCAAACCTAGCTCAGAATTCAACTGAAACCAAAGAAATGATCCCTAGATCATCCAAACTTCAAAAAAAAAAAAAAAAACGTGTAGAACATAAAAATAACTGGCCTCCCACCCATTTTGAAACCCATCCACCACCTTCAAGTACCAAAAGCCAACATTCACCGCCAACTTCTTAAACCCAACCAAATCCCTCGTGAAACCCACTAATCCCATTATGGAAAAAAGAAAATTGCACGGAATTTCACAGCTAACTACTTTGAATAAGCAGTTGAAAAAGAAAGAGAGAGAGAGAGAGAGAGAGAGCGAAAATATCGTACCGTCCAGATATCGGCAGGGACAAGGATAATGAAGGAGAGAGAGCAGAACCAGGTGTATCCGACGGTGAAGAGGACGTAACGTGGGACATCTGGCCCCGCGAAATACCCTAGCGTCACCATGACCATGCCAAGGGTTAGCGGCAAAGATATCAAATAAAATACCCACATTTTTCCTTCTCCTTTCCTTCAATTCTCTTCTCCGATTCAAATCGATCGCAGAAGAACCGAGAAAGGGCAATCGGAAATTCGCCGAGCAGCTAGAAGAGGGTGGACAGATTCGACGCCGGTCAAGGTTGGTGGTAGTCAGGAGAGAAGAAAGTTCAGAACCACGCGGTTCACCTGTAACCCGGAACCCGTGAACCTGAAGGAAGTTAACGATTTGAAAAATAGAAAAAGAAATACGAGTAGCAATGTAAGCGCGTGACATGCACGTGAGCTCGCATTGAGCTTTTATATGGGTTAAATGGGCCTAATCATAGGCCTGAACCATTGGGCTAACTTTACTGTTTAGACATATGGGCTTCAAAACAAATGACTCCACCCTGGGCGCTATCGGTTTTCTTTATAACCTCTTGTATTAAGGGGACCGTTTGGTCCTTGTTGAAAAGATGATAAAAAATAAATGGAATTTATTGAAGGTTTGATTTCTAAAAAATTTGTAAACAAAAGATGGGCATAAATTAATTTTATCTAATTTTATTAAGGGTCTGTTCGGAACGACCGTAACATTTTATAAATTTGAATGTGAAATTTTTTTGATAAAAATTTACTCTAATTAAAAATAAATAAATTTTCAACATATTAATTTTTAAAAAATAATGAGGAAACAACAAAAAAAAGCTAAATTAAAGTGTTTTATTTAAAATACTTATCTTGTGATTGTTCCAAAGTAAATTTTACTCATTATTTTCATTAAATATTATTTTACTGATACGGACTGAATGAATCCAAAAATGACACTACCTAAATTCAACCATTTGTGATTTAATCAATTATTTCTATTATTATAAAAAATTCACTTATAATTCTTCTCATATTAAATCCTAAAATTTCAATTTCTAAGTTGATAAATTGAAATATTATGAGTTCAATTATAACAAAAAGCCTTATTCTAAATCATTAATATCCAATTCTTGATAAATTAGCTAATATATATATATACACGTTAGGCTTACATTTTTTACTTATATTTTGTTATTATTGTTTTTTTTTTTTTTTCTGCATAGAAATAGTTAATTGTTGTTGTCTTTTACATGAGAAATTATTTTGTGCGGAGGCTGGACGCAGCTCTACGTTCGGAGACGAATTAGGTGCAACCACATCAGCGGTACCAAGCAGTACCGAGCTGCAGTTGGGGGTGTCAATATTTGACCCGACCTGAAAACCCGACCCGAACCAGACCCGAAAATTTCGAGTCTGGGTTGACCAAAACCCGAATCGAGTCTGGTTCGGGTTGATCCGGGAACCCGGAAATGACCCTGAATGACCCGTCTACCCGCTCTGCCCGTGTCATTCTGCCCGCATGCATCCACCCGCTGTCCGATAGTGCCACGCGTGACGTGCGATCCAGCCGCTGTGGCGCTGCCCAGAGCAGTAGTGCGCCAGATGCCAGTGCCCCATGACTCGCGTCTGCCCAGGTGCCCAGGCCTAGCCGTTGTCACAGACTACTCACGGACACATTCGACGTCCACACATAATAATTAATCCGTCTGCATACGATCTATCATTGCTATCAAATTTTAGTGTGTCACAGTGTTCAGGTTGGCATGATCAATTGTTAGGGTCTTCAAATAATTATTTCCAAGAAAATGGATGAGCCTTACGCACCAATTTTCAACCAACATTTATAGTAAGGACTTAGGACCCAACAACTACGAGCACCTAATACTTTATTAAGCACTTCTTCGATTGGTGGGTTTCTGTTAATTTAATTGATGCAGTTAGGCAACCGTTTTTGCAGCTCAACTGTTAACAGTTTATTAACTCAATATCATATATTTGTCTAAGGAAAAGTTTAGTCATCTCTGTAAATTCTGCTATTAATGAAGGTAGACTTCTCTAACAAAACCTAGACTTGGTGGTGATCAATGACGATTCAAGCAAGGAATAATATTTCTTCATGTTTAAAGCCTTCTTATTTTTAGCCAGCCATTTTTTTTTTTAGTAAGTGGATAACATGCATGGAATTATGGGAGGAAAAAAAATGGATAAGCATAAAGCCATCGATGTTACAGCATTTTTTTTATTTTTTTAATATTTTAATTATTAAAATGATATCACTAATGTTTTTAGGGTTTAGATAAACAATTTGGAAGTATACTACACATCTCCTAATCTTTATTATATAGTTTTTTAGGTCATTTATCCTCATCCATCTATTTTTTAGTATTTATTACAAGGATTTTTAGGCAATTGCCCCACTAAAATTTTTAAAATACTTTGATCTTTAAGCAATTGCTCCAGGTCAAACCACGCAAGGGGCACTGCTCCGTTGGACCCCCTGAGAGTTACTTATAAGTTTGCCCCCTTGAAAATTAAGGCTATTTCAGTCCTTGAAGTATATAATTTCAGAATAATCAGAAATATTAAGGAGCTGTTTAATTTGATAAAAAAGAAATGTTGAGTAAAAATAATATTGTATAAAATAAAAGTGATGTATTAAAATATTTTTGAGTTGTTTGGTTGAGTACGCTACAAATATGGGATTTTACTTATTTTATTTCGTTGAAGTAAGGGATTGGAAAGCAAATTGAAGTGCATTTGGAATAATAGTTGATAAGAGGTGGCCGATAGTGACGGCGGCAAACGATGAGTGGTGGTAGTGGCGAGCAGAGCCATACAGGGATTTGCTACAGACGGCAGATCGAGGCAACAACCAATGAATGTGTGGTGGCTACAATGGTGGGCAATAGAGGCAGCCTCAAAATTATCCCCGATATAATTTTGCTTGGTAGATCAATTCCATATAAGCTCAAAATGACGAGACAACCCTTAGATAAGTTATATCATATCATATCGAGTATATGGATGATCAAACTTTTTAAATGGGGGCTTAAAAAGTCTTTATCCATGCAAGGTCGTCATCTTCTCTACGTATGAGCACTTTGCTCATACATGGATTAGCTGTATATTGGGCCTATTGGCCCCACCATTGTTGAACCTATATATAGCCCCCTCCCTTCATATTTTCCCAACAAGGCATACTTTGACAACCTCTCACTGTCTCGGAAATTTATTACGTATGGCGTCCGGATTTATTCGGAGGTGAATCCAGACGCGCCACGTCACCCAGACAGCAGTGCATCTGGGTGGGTCCGGGTGACATGGCGCGTCCGGATTCGCCTCTGGACGGTTCGGACGCTGGATATATGTAATAATTTGCCTTCCACATTGCACTCATCTTTCAGCAGTTCGTTCATGAATGTTCAAAATTATCTAAGTTTTTGTTTGGGATTGCTATCTTACAGCTTCTTAAAGTTTTTAGTACAATTTTTTTTATTTTATACTAAAAATTTGCATTAAGAAGCAGTGACAAAGCCGCCCCAAACGAATCCAAAATCACATCCTTTCACCATCAAATTTTTCAGTCATTCATCTTCAAAGATGATCCCTTAAAAAAGTAAAATATTACCAATTAGTTCTATAAATGAGTTCAAGAGGTGTTGAAAGATTTTTCACAATCATAATAGCTAATCAAACGTGTTAACCTTCAGTACTATGGCGTGTTCAAATTTATGATCCCAGGCATCTTTGATGGTAAAGATGTAGCTTAATATGGGACGTACATTCTAGTCGAACAAAGGTACTCACCTTCAAATTAACTCTTCGTTTGGAATGATTTTCTTACGGCTTTCTAAAACAGCTTCCTAGCATAAAAAATTTCTAGTCCAAGAATTTTTTTTACTAGAAAGCCGCTTTAGAAAGCAATTAAAAAGCTGTCCCAAACAAAATCTAAATTTTGAACATGAAAGATGTATCTAACATGTATCTCATAACCAACTCCGTGGCTTCTCTCACAAACCCTAAGTTAACTATCATAATTAATGCTAAATAAACATTTTTCGTTTATGTCAAGGCATCATTCATCACAGTTGCCAAGATGGCCTCCCTTATCAATGTCAAAGTTTGAATACACTAAATTGGTTGACATGATACAATTTAATAAAATAGCTAGCTCCTTCATTATATGGAAGATTCCAAGCCGTCATAATTAGCTCAAAAACTTTGATTATTTGTGACATATTTGTAATTGTTAAAAGGAGGGGAAGACTTATAATCACACATTACTCCTAATGAAAGGCAATTATTTGAATTTAGCTATGTAATTTTACTTCTATGAATTTGAGTTATATATTTAAAATACATTAAAAATATGAGTATTTATAAATGTTCTGCATCATTTTTTCCTAAATTTTATGATTAAAAATTTAAAATAACACTTCTAAAATAAAGAGTGGCTAATGCTTAGGCAACTAAAATTTTATTCATAAACGCTATGATGATATCAATATGGACATTCTTTTGATGGATTGAACGAGTGTCTGAACCCAACGCCAAACTACTCAAAGCATGACACGTCAAGAGGAATCCACTACCCATTTGCATTCATTCATTTGATTAATATTTTGTTTGGGATAGCTTTCTTACTATTTTCTAAAATAATTTTCTTTATATACATTTTTTCATAAAAGTAGATTGTCAAAAGTTGTCCCAAACGAAATTTAAATCATCAAGATTAAGACAAAGTCTAGACATCTCAAAGCATTACTTGGACACATATGAATGACCTGAGAAGAATATTAGTCAATAGTGATCTTGATTATATAATGCAATGCCAAAATTATAGAATCTAATATAAATAAAATAAAATAAAAAACTATCAGAATTAAAGCATATCATTTTCTATTTCATAAGGAATTCAATCAAATAAATGTTTTAAGCCATAAAGGTGAGACAATTATGACTATTATAAAAAAGTTTTATACTTAAGAAACTAAATTGCTTAATTTGTTTGAACAATCCAACTTAACAATATGCTTGGTTAAGCCTCCTCTCTAATGTCATCTTTATTATTTGTCAACACTTTACATGGAGATATTAACAATAAATTGAGATATATTAAGTAGACGATTGGTCCGTATAAAGTCCAAGGTGAGACTTGGCATTCAAGTATTTGTGTTTTACATATGGTTATTATTGATAAAGGTGCTTAAATAGAGGGTTTTGGTGTCCCTATACTTAAATAATCATCAGTAATTAGCTTATTAGTAAGCGACAATGGTTTCTCACAATTGGAATTAAACTATTTAGTGTTCTAAATAATCTCAAGCTGGTTAAGATCATTGATGGGTATTATCTTGAGAGTGAGTTTCA